TTGGCTGGTTCAGCCAAATCACTCTGAAAGCATTCTGATTGAGTCCTTTGCTATCATCATGCAAAGGTGACATGTAAACGGAATTGTGGCCACTCTGCGACAAAGCAGCCTCGTCCTCATCCAAAATACGACCGGCGAGAGCAAAAATTTGAGCCTCCTGTGGTGTAACGCGTTTCCTGCCAGGAGATGACCAGGAACGCCCCCAAGGCGTGGCCAGCAATGGCTGTTTCTTGTGGAATCTACCAAGCTGTGAAATGAACGCATCCCATTGTTGATCTGCAAATTCATCACGATACACCCGAAAAAGCCAAATGGAAGAACTTGGCAGAGCAATGGCCCTCTGTTCATCTTTTTCAAACTTCACATTCTTCTTTCCCAATTGGTGGGCACAAACGGCCACCACGACCGTTTCGCCAGAAACGGTTTTCGCAGGAATGGACATGGAATTGCAACGCTGATTGTCTGTTGCTGGGCACCGTCCAAGCACACACATCAAGAGTTCATGATCTACAAGCTGAGTGCATGTGAGAAAATGTCTCGCCTGCTGGGGGTCCAACAATGCTATCCCGGGCGGGCTTTGTGCTGAGATCTCAAACAGGAGGGCAAGCTCAGTATTATCGGTTGATGAAAAGTGAGCCAAATCCAATTGGAGTTGTGATGCAGAAATGGGTCTCTGTCTCTTGCGCTGAAACTGAGGCAACACCAGGCCTGGCGGCATCTTCAGTGATGCAGCTGAAGACATACCCAGGAGCGATTTGGCCAATTTGATCTCATCCGAAAGCAAAGAGGATTTCCTGAAGCGATCAAACCCAAGTGCATCAATGGCGTTTTGCGACCACTCCATTGCTTCATCGAACTGAGCACCGTGTTCCTGCAGAAAAGAAGCAACAGCACGCCTTGCCTCAATAACTTTGTCGGCTGATGTTTCACTTGGGCCTCCACCATGAAGAGAGTATCTGAGGTGTATCTTGATAGACGAGGTCTGATTTGCCATGAAATCACCTATTGCAAATTCAGGCGAGGCCTGTCTACCAGCAATCACGATTCGACAAATAGGTGCAATACAGATGACATTGTTGGCAAAAAGCCATGCATCAACAATTGTTTGCAAGGTCTGCCGTGGTGACATGAATCCTTTCCAAAGAAGAGATCCATCAAAGTCAATGTAAGCAAATGCGGCCTCACTTTGAGAGACGGGCAGTGAGTGCGAGTCCAGGAAGGAGGATTGCAGTGTCTGCTGAGTCCATGCCGAAACCAGTCCTAGATGGTAAAAGTTTTGCACCAACCCTGTCATCTTCAAAAACAGGGATTCGAATCTGCAAGGTACATCCAAAAAGCCTTAGGCAGTTGGCACACTTGACAAAGTCGGCATCTTCAAAGTCACAAACGATAGCACGGTCAGCAAGCTGAAAGATTGATGCATCCTTCCTGTCCAAAGCCATCTGTGTTATTCTGAGATTTTGACACAGCTGCACATGAGTAAGAGGATCCTTGATCTGGATTCACGTCCATCACACGAGCAATTGCCACGGTGTGCAAATCCAACTGCAAATGAATGGAATGCCTGTTTGACCACGACTCACACTGTTGTAAACTATCCAGAGCAAATTGAAATGTCACACCTGCAGGACAAATTGCCATGCCTCCATGCCAGAAAATCAAGCGCACATGCTTCAAGGCCTGTTTCAGGAAGTGTGTCGACAGAAAGGTGCCTTCTTCATTCCACACATGCAAGATACGATCACAAGCATCTTGAATCTCAGCAGTGTGGCACGCAACTAAACACTTGGCAATGAAGATGGGGAAGCTCAACCAAGCTCCACACAATGAAAGGCTCTGTCGCTGAGAGTGTGACCGGAATAGTCATCTCATTGGAGTCCTTGTGGATTTGAATCGCCTGGCTGCAGAGATTTGCCAATTCCTGGCTACAGGCATCAAGTTGTGGCAATCGAAGGTCGTTGTTCATCACTGTAGTCCAAATCTAGCTATTCGAAGCCACTGGAAAGCTGAGTGCACAGGCACTAACATGTTTCCAAGCATGCGATAAGCCTCCTTATTGGAAAGAGATGCAAATCCATGATGCACAATTGCAAGGACTTCAGGCGCCAACGCAAACCACAGAACCTGATGCGGATTGTCCACTGTGAAAGCCTTGGCCTGCATGAAGACACCCTTTGCGAGCTGATGGTCACGAAACTGTAGGCATGTATGCCATAACTGATTCCAACTTCAAAGATTCAAGGCAATTCCGCATTTTGCAAATGTCTTCAGGCCGAAAAATACTGTTGCGATTCCACTGAGGCACGAACCTTGGATCAAGGAGCTTCTGGATTTCCACATCGGACAAACTCAACTAGAAGTCGAAGCCCCAAGGGTAAGTCCAGCCAACACGTCCACATCCGCAACAGCAGAAGTCATTGCGCGTGCACTCAGCAACTTGGGACTTTCTTTTGTTGTCATTCAGCAAATGTGGATTCTGCAAAAATTTGGTGGTTTTGCGCGGTGCGGCCGCAGGCCTTGCACTGCAAGGGTTTTCAACTTGCTTTGATATGCAGGCAAAACGGGTCCTAATCGCATTCTGTGCGTCTCGGAAGTTTAAGTTGCCCGGGCTTAAAGCGCTGTTTCTGGCCTTGTAAGTGCGTTGCGGAGCTTTGTGGCTCGAAAAGCCTGATAAGTGCTTTCTAAGCGCAACGGTGACTCAGAGCAGAAGGTTGGTTGGGTTGGAATTCTCTTGGCCTCATTTGCTGCATGTGAGCCTTGGGTTGCGTCTCCGTCAATCCTGCGCCGGCAACAGGATTCATTGCTGAGGTGCTGGGTTAGAGCAGCCGTAGATAGGCCAGCACATCGGCTGGCTTTCTGGCTGGCTTTCTGGCTGCTTCTGGCTGGCTTCCTGGCTGGTTTTGATTGGCTTCTGGCTGGCTTTCTGGCTGGTTTTGGTTGGCTTCTGGCTGGTTTTGGTTGGCTTCTGGCTGGCTTTCTGGCTGGTTTTGGTTGGCTCCTGGCTGGCTTTCTGGCTGGTTTGGTTTGGCTTCTGGCTGGCTTTCTGGCTGGTTTGGCTTGGCTTCTGGCTGGCTTTCTGGCTGGTTTGGCTTTTCTGGCTGGCTTTCTGGCTTTTGGCTCCTGGCTGGCTTTCTGGCTGGTTTGGCTTGGCTCCTCTTTTTTTTCCCTGTTTTTTTAGCTCGCCTTGCAGAAACGCAGCTGCTGGGCATTTTGCAAGCATATCTAGGGGTCATTATTTTGCAGCCACACGCCTGCACGCAGCGTTTTAGACTTCGAATCCTTCGCAGGACGAGGTCATTTCCTGGACGGACGAGTGCCAGGAGCCTCTCAGGTAGAATAGAATCCATTTGGGAAACCCCCTCTAAAGAGAGAGATGCGGAACATACGGGCCGTATGGCCTTGCCTTGTCAAGCCTGGACAGCGGTACTGTGCATTGCATGTTTCGAGACGCTGGCACAGTTAGCACTACTGCAAGCAACCCACAGCCACATTGGTGGTGGGCACTACTCGTTCAGCATGCCTTCAGGCACGGACAATTCCGCAACTTAACAAGTTGTTCACGACCTCCTGGCCGTTGCAACTTTTCGTGCAGTTAACAGCCTTCTGGGCTTATGCTGCTGCAGCCGACGCACGTTCCAGGAAGGTGCAATGATTGCGCAGCAGATCGCAGCAGAGGTCGGTTGGCCCGATTCAGCCATCGCCCTGAAAGTCGCATACGCTTCAGCCCTGCGGGCCTAGCAATGTCAGGTGTCCGATGGATGCGCCCTGGCGCCGGAACACCTGGCAGCTGTGACCGAAAAAAGTGCAGATCCTGAGCAACAGACTGCTCACAGCCGTAAGCGTGCATTGTCACGCGGACATTTGCCCTGCCAGGTACAACCCCACTCTGAAGGGCGGGTGATGAGGCCGGCGGCCCAGCTGGCTCGCTTATACCGGGGTTGCCTGAAACACTGAAGGGGGGGTCAACGCACCTCCTGTTCCAGGCGCACCAGTGCCCTGGAAGCAGTGCTACAGCAATCCCGGTAAAAAGAACTGCGGCCGCTTCGGATTGCTTTGTTCTTTTGGGGGTTCATGTTTGGGTTCAAGCTAGGAGCAGTGCAACATGCCTTAACGCTTAGGGTTTCTTTTCCCTTGTGTTAGGGCTTGTTGTGAATCGAACTACGCGGTGGCCGTTTTGCTCCTAGCCTCCCAAACCTGCGGTTTCATTTGAAACCCACCCACCCACCCTGCACTGCCTTATACAAGGCTCTGCAAGTATAGGTCGCAGACGCTCTGCACTTTCGTTGTGGTCTCCGGACCTCTTGGTCTCCGGACCAGGTCTCCGGACCAACTCTGGTCTCCGGACCATTCAGTCTCCGGACCTTGGGCGGGCCACGCCCTGCAAGCACTGCATTCACTTGCAAGAACACGCATTGTCTTGCCCGTTTTAGTTTTACGGGGGGTCAACGCACCTCCTGTTCCAGGCGCACCAGTGCGCTGGAAGCAGTGCTACTTTCAGCAATCCCGGTAAAAAGAACTGCGGCCGCTGGACTTGCTTTGTTCTTTTGGGGGTTCATGTTTGGGTTCAAGCTAGGAGCAGTGCAACATGCCTTAACATGTCGAGAATTGCTTCACCTCTCAATTTGGGTGCCTGCGTTCCACCCACTTTGCATGCTTTGCCTCGTGGCGTTGAGCGCAGCCTTCGCGCTCTATTAACGCATGGTAACAGCACAAAGTCGCCCTTCTGCCATCCCTGCTACTTTTTAATTCTCTTGGTCGGACCTTTGCTTGCTTGGTTGCTGATCTCCCCCTTTGGTTTGGGTTGTTGTTGCTCCTCTTTTTGTTTCTTGTTTGTTTTTGTTTTTGGGCCGATTTTGGTCGATTTCAGCAACCCTGCTTACCGCCGCTGGTGTCGTGGTACTTGTCGGTTTTGGTAGAAAGGTACATTGCGGTCCGTCGTTAACGACGATGTTTGCAACAGTTGTGGTGCGTGTTAAGTTATTAAGTGCACGTCGGTTTTCATGGCGCTGAGGTTCCTGAATGGGACTCGTTTTCCGGCTTGGCAGGAGCGGTCTTGCTGGTGGGCTGAGCAAGGCTTGCCGTTCCTGCCGATCGTGGCTGAGGGCTCTGGGGGCGGGTGGGGGCCCACAGCCCAGAAAGTGTTCGCTGTCCTGGGTAGGGCCCTGGCTGCGCGCAGCGGCGACCTGGCGGCAATCGAGACCGACCGCCTGGGGCAGGTCATGTCCTTCACCTTACAACGTGAAAACGCCCGCGCTGTCCTCCGCCGGCGTGCGGTGGATTGCGCACGGCCGGCCTGCTTGCCAGCCCCTTGAGCCGGCCATTGACGCCTGGCTCGGCCTGCACCAGCTACGAGTTGAGACCCGCTCAGGCGGCCTATCCCACCTACAAGCCATCTGGTGGCTATCCCATGGCCGGGCCCCCTGCCTTTCCAAGTGCAGCTGTGGGCACTCGCTGAAGTCCGTAATTTGATGCAAAAGTAAGAGCTCGTCATGCCCAGCCTTCCCGCCCGATATCTTTGCATGTGCTTGTACAGCTGCCCAATATTCGGCTCTGGCGGGATGATGCCAGCTCGCTTTTCAGACGAGGGCGATGTCCCAGTCCTTTTGACACTACCGCTTTGTACTAGGCCTTCCTAATCTTCGGGGTCCGTATTTTTGGACACGAATCATTCTTGCTTGCAATACTGTGGATGGGCAAAGTCCTGCACCAGTTGATAGGTGGTCATCCACGGAAGTCACCTGCTGGTGGGTTGTAGGGCTTGAAGTATGTTTTTTTCTGAGGCAGTGTTTTTACTTTTGTCCTGGGAGTGTGTAAAGGCTTAGGGCAGTGCAAAGGTTTGGGATTGCGTGGTCTTGCTGCTGAAAAGGCTTAGGGTTTAAGGTATGGTTTTCCAACATGGGTGGTGTTGCTGCTTGGGCATGTGTGGCCTTGCTGCTGGAAAGGCTTAGGGTAAAAGGTATTCTGTTTTGGCTTGAGTGCCAAAAGGGCTTGGGATTTTGGGTGGGTTTGCCTTTGCGGTTTCGGAACGTGTGGTCTAGAGCTTGATTTTTTTTCTCATTGGCAGAGTGGGCGGAACCGGTGTTTTTTTTTCACTAGCCCCGGCTCGGGGCTTAAACCCGGCTTGGAGACTGGTTGGTTGGTTGGTTGGTTGGTTGGTTGGTTGGTTGGTTGGTTGGTTGGTTGGTTGGTTGGTTGGTTGGTTGCATCCCCAGCATCCCCAGCATTTCCGGTTTCTTGTCACGGCTGCGTATGGGGCATGACTTGATAGCCGGCCACATCGCCAGCATTACTGGCCTCACTCGGACGAGAGCTGCCTATTGGCTTTGATTTGGTGGCAGTTCAGGGTTGATCGGGGCTGGTTTGGGGTGAGTGTTGGGCTTGCTGAGATATTCATGCGGGCGGGTCTTGGGTTTGTTTGGGGTTCATTTAGTCTTGGCAAAAGGCCGATATGCAGGATGCGGTTGGGTGGTTGGGGCTGATTCGTGCTAGATGCGCGGCTGGTTTAGCCGTGGCTTTCGGGTTGCTTCAGGGATGTGGTTCTGCAAGTTTTGGGCTAGGATCCCTGAAGCAACCCGAAAGCCACGGCTAAACCAGCCGCACATCTAGCACAAATCAGCCCCAACCACCCAACCGCATCCTGCATATCGGCCCTTTGCCAAGACTAAATGAACCCAAAACAAACCCAAGACCCGCCCGCATGAATATCTCAGCAAGCCCAACACTCACCCCAAACCAGCCCCGATCAACCCTGAACTGCCACCAAATCAAAGCCAATAGGCAGCTCGTCCGAGTGAGGCCAGTAATGCTAGCGATGCGGCCGGCTATCCCGAGCATCAAGTCATGCTGACAAGAAACCGGTAATGCTGGCGATGCGGCCACCAATTGTGCTGAGCGGGGGCTAATAAAAAGCTGGGGCCAATAAGAAAAACCACCTCAACCCAGAGTGAGCCTGGTTTTTTCTTGGCTTGGCATGAGTGGTTTTGCTGCTAAAAGGGGTGGGTTGGCTTGAAGCTGAAAAGGCTTGGGGTTTAAGGCATTTTTTCCGGCTTGGCACGAGTTGGAGTTTTGGGTGGGCTGTGTGACGCCCAAAGTGAGTGCAATCCGCGCCAGAGCTCGATTTTTCGGCAACATTTGCAGTCCATCTTTGCAACTCGTTGCACCGACTCTGGAGGACGCCATGCGAGTGCCAACCATGACTGTGGCAGCAACCACGACAGCCAACCACGACAGCCAACCATTGCAAAACTGTAGCAGCAGGCATCACTGTGAGGCCACAGCAGGAAGGATCGACATCCACGCTTTCCTTGGTACTTCTCCTTGGGCCCTGTGTCTGCGCAAAGGCCGTTGATGAATCGGCGTGCGGGAAGAGTCATTGGCTTTGTGACTTTTCCTCAAGCTGCCTGGTCAATCCTCACCAGACCACAGGATGCAGCCAAGCGCCAGATTTCCAATCTGCAAGCAGCCGTCGCGCTCGCAGCGCATGGTGCGCCGTGTCGCTTCGTGAGCACAGAGCGAGAAGTCATTTTGGTGATTTTTGTCTTGCGGTTTTCTGTTCTCTGAGTCAAGCTCAAGTTCAGTCACTCCCTTCTTTTACGTTGTGTTTTTGGTAGTTGCGAGCGTTCTGATCATACAAGTTTCAGGGCATTCTGTGATCGGCGCGCAGGGGGCACTGCCAGTTTGCCTGTCCGAGAAAACACCAGCTAGGGTTTTGGATGCTTTGGACATGTCAATGCTGTACAACACCACAGTTCACGTTTGCTGGTGGAAAGAATCGTGTTGAATTCTTCATTTAGGATTTCATCCCAACACAACTAGTTGAATGTTGTCTGATGGACCTCTTGCTCGGACCTCACCGTGCTGGGCAATCTCCTCGCCGTGCCCCTTGCCCTTTTGGGTGGAGCTTGGTGTGCATTGTGGAGGCCAGTCTTGATGACCCTGTGACTTTGCGAAGATTATGTCCTTCAGCTGGTCTTTGCTGAGGTATTGCTGGATGACCTGGCAAAGTTCCCACCTGAAGTTTTCTTGTCACGGGCTTTCAAGGCCCTGACCGCGGCAGGCTTGTCGGTGTGCTTGATGACCCAGCCTTCATCTTGAGCTGTATAAACACCCTGCCACCTGTCCCAAAGTAGGTGAAGAGATTGTAGCCTGCCCCAAGTCAGGTCATCCTGGTCTGGCTTCAGTGACTTGTTCTCAAAATTGAAGACATCGGAGCAATTGAGCTTTGAATTCCGGGACCCAAACGGTGTGCTGGGACCCCCACGGCTTTGCTCGTCGATGATTGCCACGACTTGTTACCTCAAGGCTAAGGAACCAGAGCCTTCGCCTTCTGAAGGTCCAGAACTTTCTGAGTGACCGACAAAAGGACATCGCCGTCCAGGACCTTGAATGCAGAAACGCGCCGTCATCCTTGCGCTCAAATCGGGAGCTTCTGGGCGTCCTGGGCTTGCTCCGAACAGAAGCACTGGAGTTCTCGCACAAACGCGAATCTTCTCGATGGGAATGAAAGATCTTCGTCATCCGCCGAGACGATGCCAATCCTTTCAAAATGGGTGGGATCCGCGAACCTCCACTGTTCAGCACCATTGACGTTGCAGCCTTCTGAAGTTTGCTTGGATTTGATAATCCGGAAAATCACCTGGGTCAAAGGCTTGTCACTCAAACTCACCATCTCATTCTTGAAGGAGGCAGAAAGGCAGATTGAAGCTTGATGCCTCATCGTGTCCTCACCCATTCATTGTGGATGGTGACTGACACTGTCGCACCAGAATGCCATTGGATGAAAACGAGCAAATTATAGCTGAGACCGCAAATCCTTCGTGAACCAACGCAACGCGAGTGGCACGGAGCGTAGATGATGAAGGAGACGAAGCGCGGAGCGAGGCGGTTGGAAACCCAGAAACCCCAGAAAAGGATGAACCCCATAAACCTTACAATAAAAGAAGCAATTATGATATTGATGTTTCAATCCTGGTTTTCAAGGAACGCAGTTTCATGGAAGCTTAGGGGTGGTTTGGATGTAGGACTGCTTGTTGCTTGTTTTTAATTATTATTTTATGAATGACATATTCTGAATGTTTATGCTGTTTTGTTTTGTTGATTTGTTGGCTGTTTTGTTTTAACATAAATAATGGTATATATTTTCTTGTCTGCTGGTATTTTACTTCATGGCACTCAGAGGCTTAGGGTTTCGGATCGGAGATCGATGCGAGGCTTGAGGTTTCAGGTTGACGGAGACATTCACAGGCAGATGGATCGACCGTGGACTAATTTGATGTCCTTCATCCTTTCTTCTTTGCGTGCTGTTGTTTCCATCCATGGTCTTTTTTGCTTTTCTTCTTTTCTGTGATTAGCCATGCATTTCAGGTGACTACCGGCATGTTGCGATAGCAACTATCCGGTGCCACTTTGGCTCAAGTGTACGGGTTCCGTCGCGCCTCGAATGGGCGTCGCCGAACCCCTGCGTCGACCGACGGCATCTCGGGGGAGAAAGAGACCTCGGGCCGCCGCCAGGTTGGTAGGGACCAGTCGTGCGGCCTGTTGTCGAACAAGGTTGCGGGTTAACCCTTTTCTCTTTTGGTTTGTTTCCTTTTGGTTGTTGTTCTCTGGTGTGTGGGAAACCCTGATCTTTGGGACCGGGGATTGGTTTGCTTTTGGGGAACCTTTCTTTTGTGGCTTGTTTACCCCAACTTACCCATTGCCTGGGCACAGGCTCGTGCCCGAATCACAGGTTATCAGCCGTAGGACTTTCCGACGCGCTTGAGACCATCAACTACAAGTTCAATGACGTCGACCCCACGATCCCGAAGGAGCGTCGTGGATGAGGAGGCCATCCTAGGTGGCCTCCGCTCAGGTGAGGACCTACCGGACTACGACTACGAGGATTTCGAAGCAGGTTTGACAGGTCAGGACCGAGGGGTGAAGATCCCGATAGGGACACACCCAGAAGCCGTGGCAGGTTCACTGACGATGGAGATGATCGCATTTTCCGTCAGGCCACCGATGATGAGCAGGCACAAAGAGCTCGCCCCGATAGGAGCGGCTCTGAGTCAGGTCTCAGGCACGGACACTTGGACTTCATCAGCATGGCAATGAACATGGCCCGCCCTCATTCAGACGACCTGGAGGCCATGCCGACCCGACCCCCAAGATCTCTTGTTCCAGGTGAATCGCAACAGGCCGCGAGGACCAGGAACCATGGTTCTGGCTCCGAGAGATATCTCGGGTTGATCCATCGGTTCTCAACATCCAGGTCGGTTTGATGAGCATGAGGAGAAGAAACTCACAGGCTTCGGATACGATGCTCTGTTGAAAT